GTTGTAAATCATGTTTTTAAAAAGTAACTAAGTAACTAAGTAATTAATTACTTTTGAAAATAAGTAATCAGTAAAGTAACGGGATTACTTTTTTGGGGAAGTAATCAGTAATTAATTACTTTTGGAGACAGTGGCATTAAAAACACAGGAAGCAGAGCTGAAGATGCTCAGACTTTCACTGGGAGTGACCAGGATGGACAAGTTTGAAATAGATACATCAGAGAGACTCTTTGGTTTTGAGGATTTGGAGACAAAGTTAGAGAGTCAAAGCTGAGATGGTTTGTAGACGTGCAGAGGAGGGATAAAGATATACTGAACAAAGGATGTTGAATATGGGGCTGACAGGGAGGAGGAAAAGAGGAAGACCTCAGAGGAGGTTCATGGATGTAGTGAAGGAGGACATGCAAGGGATGGTGTGACACAAAAAGATCCTAGAAATACTGTGGTGACTACTAAAGTGAGCGCTGAAAGAAGAAGAAGATAACATACATGGAGTATATGTAGCAGTGTAGGACAGCCTTTTCTTTTTCCCATCACTGTTTTGGTTGATGCACACAGTTCAAGCAATTTAAGCTTCATGCATTTTGCACTCTTATGTGTTTTTTGGAGCGTCACTCATAGATGATAAACTGCCCGCACATGAAGCCCTTAATACAATGATGCATCATCTTTCACTTTGCATTATTAGTATAAAACTGCAGAATACAAACATTAAAAAAAGCTTTGACTCAAACAGGAGAAGATGGATCGAAGTATGAAAAGGACAAGATGGATAACGCTGAGATTCCTAATTATGAGACTTGTTTGCATTTGCTATACGGTTCATTAGCTCCTGTGATTTGCACATTCAGCCACACCAACATTACTCATAAACAACATCAAAGCTGAAGTTCTGGAGCATGTGTGACTCTGTGTCCCCACAACACAATAAAATTATTGCATTGTGGGGACTTGGATCTATCTGGAGACACAATGCAGACCCCCGCAAGCTAAACTATTGCATCATTATTGGTAGTACCATAAACACGATATTTTTTCATAAACATAAATATCTAAAAAGACTGTGTGGAAAAAGTATTTTAAATGTATTCATTGTCGTATGCAGTTGCATGGATGGATATTCCCATGCGTACAGCAGGTTTTAAAACTATGCATCATCCCAGCAAAGTGTCCATTAATATATATTTTTTTAATACTCCAGCAAGCACATGAAAATGAACCACATCAACCACCCACTTCTACACAAAACATAAATGTATTATAAATTTGATTAAAAACAAAAAAGGAATTTTAAAGTGAGATCAATAGTGTATCTAAAAGTAAATCACCCTGTGTATTTCAGCTATATAGAAAATGAAAAATATCATCTGTTAATTTATTTTCTTGTTAGAGTTCAAGACATTATTGCAAATGTTGTCAATTTGTCTGTTTCACATTATTTCAGATTTTTCTGAAACTTTCATACCGGAAAGAAAGAACTTGTGACTGAAAGTGTGTTGATACCTTGTATGCTTTCATTAGGTCCAGTGGGTCCACCTTGGGCCCTTCCAGTGAGTCCTGGTTCTGTAGTAGCGTTCGCACCGTCTCCTCCATGCTGTGGTTAGGAAGAAAACAAACCTGTTAAAATATAATCTTCTTAATGAGAGATAAATTAATTGCAAGTGTTGCAGGACATGTAAAAGACTAATTATTATTGTGGATAATTTATATTTTAGAATGCATTTTAACCATAGACATTTTATGGCACAGCTGCTGCTCCTCCACATCAATTTGAGCGAGCTGAAGTGGTTCAAGCTCCAGAAGTGCTCAAGGAGGCTGCTGAAGAGAGGGAGTAAGGTTATATCCCTGCTAGCAGCTCTGTGGAACTCATGACTTAAAATCTAATCTCAGTTTAATGGGAAATAGTTTTTATATCTTGTTCCCTATTACCATTTTCCATGTTATCCTGCTATCACTGGTTAGAATCAGGGAGCATTGGCCTCTGTGGGCAACTCAGTGTCTGCAGTGCTGTTAAAAAAAACCTAACTTCTCTGAGATATACATGAGGTGCATTTTGGTGTCTGGGATACAGCTAGACTTTTCAGCCGCTGACAACAAATACCATTTGTTGTGGTGTTTTACAGTTTTCACACATGATTGCCAAAAAAGGTCCTAAAGTTTCCCTTTCTCACATGTAGCACAGAGCAGGAAACGCTTCAGACTCTTCTCACAACTGGAAATACTGGACACGGGCACAGGCGGCAACATTATTCAGGCCCACCTAAGCCTGCACCTTTCTCACAATGGGGACATGCGTAGAAAAATTCAAGACCTTGGTGAAAGGTTAGGTTTAAGCCTCAAAAATACTTGTTTAGGTTCAGGAAAACATGAAGGTTAAGTTTAAAATGCACAATTTTACAACATTAACCATGTTGAAAAATTGCACTACTCTGAATCAACTGCATTTACATGTGACAACAAGAATTCCTAACCAAGCATCCATTTCGTCTAAGTCATTTAACCCACTCCAGGCAGTGGATTAACCAATAAGACAACTGTTTAGTAACCAAAATTTTCTTAACACATCTCACAGAAACTTGAAGGAAAGTCAGTCACTGATCACTGGATTCATCATCTGGGTACCAGGAAAACTTTAAAAGAACCCAACTGGACCAAAGTGATGGGCCACCTCACTGACAGTAAATGGTAAATGGACTGGTTCTTATATAGTACTGTTAAATTTTACTGGAGTACTCTAAGCATTCACACCCATTCATACCAGCAGTGTTTTTCTGTCTTTTCTATGTGCTTTCTAGCTAACATTCACACAGGGCTTAGTGTCTTGCCCAAGTATACTTTGGCATTCAGACTGGAGCAGCTGTGGATCAAACAACCAATCTTAATCTCTGATTATTAGATGACCTGCTGTACCCCTTAACTCATAACGCCAATACAGCTTATAAAAACAATTTCATTAACACATTTCGGAGACAGACATACTGGAAGAATATAGTTGTTATTACTTTTTGTTCATTCATATATTAAAACTAACCTCAGACTAAGACTCCATCCTCTGTTTAAATTTTGATAATGGGGTTACACCTTAACATTTGGGTCACTGACCAAATTCTCCTTAATCTAAGTTAATGATAAGGCAGATAGCGAGTAGACATTAACATGTCTGCAATACAATGTAACTTTTCCAGGCTGCTGGACACAGTAATGAAGTTCACTAATTGGAGGCAAAGGTGTAGAACAGGGAATATGAAGCTGTTACCAGTTGATCTTTAATAGAACATCTCCACACTTTATAATTTATATGTTGGCTGCATGAGAATTTGACATAAGTTGCATAAGCTGCCACTGAGAGGACAGTTTTCCACAACTAATAACAAGACATACTTTTTTAGGTCATCTACAATATAACATGATGTTAACTTTAAAAAACACAAAAAAAAGAGAGTATGTTATTAGGGCATTGCTACACAGTTGTAAACACAATCGGTCATTAGGTTTTTCCACTTTATTAGCTACTAACTTTCCATTGCAACGCTAGTGTCCAATTATGCTTCCATTAATCTTGAAAAAAACAAACAAAAAACACAAGATTGTGCTACAATATAGATTTTCTGCATAATGGATTTTGTTTCCCCCTGTTAATTAAGGTAGATATCCAGCACTTGCATTAGCTACTCTCTCAAATGTCTGCTAATTCCTCTTTAAAAAAAACTTTTTTTTTCCGTTTTTTTCTTGTTTAAAAAATAAATGTCAGATAGCATGTCTTTTGGATTAGTTAATTTTTTCTCTTGTTATTTGCTACAGTAACTTTATCTAGTAACACCTCAGTGGTACCCTCTTATACAAATACAGTCCTGTCCATCTAAAAATGAAAAACTAAAGCATACTCTAAAGAGTTGGTGTATTAGCAAGTAGCCATTGCTTTGGCTACTGACTTCCTGATCCATCTCGTCCTATCAGTCATCATTACTATACACTGTCAAACAAGGTAAAAAAGGGGGCACTTGAAGGTATCGTTTGTCCTAATTAGCACATTTTGTTTTAAGTCTGTTTTTCTAGCCAAGATGAGCATCTGAACTTATATGACACGTGAGCAAAGACGCTAATGCTAGCCAACACTAATCCCTAGCTAAAGCCTTGCTCTACTCTCTACCTCCACTTTGTCTTCCTCTCAGTAACAGAAGGAG